CCACAACTACTGAGCCTGCGCTCTAGAGCCCACGAGCCACAACTACTGAGCCCACACGCCCCAACTACTGAAGCCCGCACACCTAGAGCCCGTGCTCCACAACAAGAAGCCACCGTGATGAGAAGCCTGTGCACCACAACAAAGAGTAGCCCTCGCTCGCAGCAACTAGAGAAAGCCCGCGTGCAGCAACGAAGACGCGACGCAGCCAAAAATAAATAAATAAAATAGCAAAATAAAATAAAAACTTTAAGATAAAGTCCAAAATCTCTAATTTGGATTGTCAAGCTTTATAAGATCTGGACCCTGATTATTTTTGTAGCCTCGTTTCACTGACTCTTTCCCCCAGGCACTCTCTTTTCTAGTAATTCGAAATGTTTCTCCTGCCCCAGTTCCTTCATACATAACATTTTCTCTCTGAACTTCATTTTACCCTGTCTTCTCTTCTTTTAACTACTACTTATCCTTTTAGCCTTTACTTAAAGCTCACTTTTTCAATGTGGCACAGGCTGTTGGTCTGGACCACAATCTACTTTCTCCTTCATCCCAGGCACAAGGCTAGACAACATTTTACCAGTCCCTCCCTCCAATAAAAAGTGACGTATGAGCCTTTAGTGTTCCACTCCCTTTCCACCAGGAGGAACCCATGGAGATCCAGTTTCTGCCCTGAGACAACACTCAAGGGTTGGCAGAGCAGCAAGATGGAAAGAACATGGGTACCTGAATGATCATGTAGAGCAGAGTAACCTGCCCAGCAGGAATGCTCACTTCAACCTGGAACATTTACTTGAGGCTGTTACATGAGAGAAAAACAACTTTCCTTCAGCAAGACTGTTTAGCCAGCCCTACGCTGACAAATACATTCAGGAAAGCCTTCTCCAGACCACTAGGTTAGATTTCCTGATAAAGGCTCCCACAGGATCCTCTACTACAGAAGTAGTAGCACTTACCACACTTGTACTTATTTATTTCATTTATTCGTTGAACAAACATATTTTGAGCATCTAGTATGTCTGCTGGCACTGTTCTAGATCCCAGGGATAACAGTGGTTCCAGATGGACAAGATCCCTTATCTCCTGGAGTTTACTTTCTACTGGGGAGATAAACACCTCTTCTCCAAGAAAATGGCAGCTAGTGATAAATGTTATGATGAAAACAAACACAATGACATGATCGAGATGGTGGGAGGGGGAGAGATACTCTTTGGTGGTCAGGGAAGGCACTGTAGGATGGTGGCACTTAAAGCTGAGACCTAATTGACAAGAAGAAGCCATCCCAGTGAGAGAACAGTTAGTGCCAAGATACATTCTTGGTCTATCTGAAGAAGAGACCAGAATGGATGGAACGGAACAAGGGAAAAAATAGTAGAAGCAGAACACAAAAAGGCAGACAAGGGCCAGAATACATACTGACTTGCGGTCGCTCTGGATTTTTATTCTAAGTATGACTATTTGTAGTCATACTTAGAATAAATAAATAAATACTTATTTAGAAGTTGACTTCTCTTCTAAACTGCAAGTTCCATGATGGCAATTCCCAACAGCAGAATAGGTATCTTCTTCTTTTGTATCATCGGCATCAATCACAATGGCTGGCACACAGCGTGTGTCAAATGTTTGCTAGAATGAATGACTATAAAGAGATCACATTACTGCTCCATATATAAATGTAAGGGGATCTCAGAAGTCATTCTGGCTAAATTAGAGAAATACTCACATGAGATAGAAATTATAGTCTGTTGTCTACAAGAGAATACTTATTCTAAGTATAGTGATACAGAAGGAAAAAATAAGCTTGAAACCCTGATGACCGCATTTGAATCAAAGTTCCCCACCCCCTTTCCTGTAGCACTTCCTTCACATGGAACCATGTGAAAGAGCCAGTTCCTCAACTAGTATGCAAAAATAGGGTGTGGAATAGGTGGTGGTAGCTGACAAAGAAGGAACTCTACAATTCTATGTAATTTACAGCCATTTAAACCAATTCTGTAATATTTTGGTAAACTGGCTGAGTGGCGTTTTCCTTCTAGGCAGGATATTTTTTCCTAAATTTCAATTGCTCTCTTAGATTTATTTGGAATGAAGAATCTATAGCAACAGAACAAAAGAAAAGTGTTTTTTGTATTTGGTAAAATGGCACTATCTTAGTATGTGCACAGGACAGTCTATAAGGTCTATAAAGTTTAGAATAAAGAAAACTATACCTCGGAGTTTCAATCATAAGAAAAATGACAAATTAACAAAAATGACAAATTAGCAAATCAATATGAAACATAAACACTAAGATAGAACCCTGTTTGGATCAGCCAGAAAAGGCCTAAGGAAAACAGGACTCAACTAAGGTAACGACAGTTTGGCAGATGGAAGGTAGAAGATCTTAGATGAATGAGATAACTTTTGCCAGTATGCCAGGGGATATGGAAAAATGAAAAACCATTTAGAGTAATGCATTTGATTGGAGCAGAAGACACTGGCAAAAAAAGTACAGGGATTCTAACGGCTAAAATGGACCTTAAAAGACTTTCTAAAACCCTGTAATTCCAAGATGAGAAAAAGTAGACCCAAGAAAGCCAAACAAGTTTTACACAGAGCTAATGAGTAGTAATGCTGGCAAAGAATTCAGGTTTTCTGATTCTTTTTCATTAAGTATGGTGGGAAAGCACTGTACAAGGCGCTCTTAAAGAATCCAAAAGAAATACACCTAAGTTTCCCTATCTTCAAAGAACTTAAAATGTTGCTTAGGTGATATGACACACAAAATATATATATAAAAACAGGATGTAAAAATTTTTAAGTGCCAAATTATGCTCTACAAAAATACATAAGGCATTTAGGGAGATAGGAGATTAGGAACAAAAACTAAAAAGCAAAAAAGGAAGCGAAAAGCAAATCAGTGATTGTTGAAGTGGTACTTGAGAGAAAAATTATTTTGATGACTTGTGTTCAGAATGGCATAACATTTAAGGGAAGAAACTGGGGAAGAATTAATAACTGTAACTTTTTAAAAAATGGATTGCTTTATATAGTCATGAAAATGAAAATAAAGGGCCAATCAGGAAGTTCATGTTTGCAAAATTACTTCAAATTACAAAAGAACCAGTTACGATATATAACTAACAACAAGCTGCACAAGTTCCAACTGTAAGAAGTTTATAAGGCAGTTTTGGCTCACTGATTTCTACCAACACAACCACTGACTAAGCTGTGCTTATGAAAACAAAACCAGAGAATAAAAGAAGTCTATTTTCCAGAGAATTGTGAATATTGAGATTATCTTTTTTTCTTTTAGGAGAGAGTTCTGGCTTGGTTTTCAATCTCAAATTACCAATCAACTTGCTCTGCAATCCATAAAACTACAATGTCCAAAGACAGGATAAACTATTCATGAAGATATCGCCAGCAAAAGTCCTACTTACTAATCAGACTCAGTATGTTTACAACATCTCATTCACCATTCTACTGGTAAGATGTTTTACTGGCGTGGCTGCCTCCAGTTCCAGCCACAAGTACTTTACCAAAATATCCTTCAAGCCTGGAACAGTGTCTTAAAGTCAGTGATATCTTTCATCATACCATCGTACCAGTTTTATAATACAGAACCCTGAGATTATTACAGGTATCTCCAAAATCACCAGCTGAATTAACAACTATTATATGACTTGTTAGTAGATTTTTAGATGTTTTACAGAAAGCTTTAGACCTACATATGAAAAAGAGCTGGTAAAGATTTGCATTCTCTATAATCTTAAAAAAAAAAAAAAAAAGAACCCACTACAGACCAGGAATCAAAAATAGCTTTACACACAAACAAGAGCAAAACTGTAGGTTCTACTGAGGGCATCAGCCACTTAATTTAAACCCCACTTCATCAGAAGAAGGAAGCCATGCTGCTGTTTTCATCAGTTACCAGGAAACAAATAAGATAAAGGATAGATTGGGCAGAAGATTCTACAGCTGAAATTAGTATTTTGATGCAATGACTGAAAATTCCCAAAGTGTCACTAAGAAAAAGCATCTAGGGCTGCCTCAAAGAGTATCTACAACTGAGTCAGGGGGTTAAGTGGAGTAAAGACACTGGAGTTTGGGGTGGTTTTTTTTTTTCCCCTCCTCTAGCCCCTCCTCCCTTCCCCCACCTAAACAGAAAAGAAAGCGCGCCGAGCGTAAACACAGGCCAGAGCTCACGGTTTGTCACCACAACAAATTGGAGGTTAGACCAGCGCTCTTGGAGACCGAGCCCCAAGTCTTGGTTGCTAGGCACAAAAAACGGCCTCTTTCCCACAGACCTGTGAACAGCGGGGGGCCTTACCAAGAGTTTTGGTTGTTTCCCCGCCCCCCTCCCTTTTTTTTTTTTTTTTTAAACGAAAGCTTTGGGAAAGTGGCGTCAAACAGCAAAAGTTTCCCTTTGAGCCAGACATCTAGATCTGCCTTGCATAGATATACATTAGGTGGGCCGGTCCCACGCAGTCTCCACCATCATTACAATTTACCAACCTAACGATTAAATGACAGCAGTGGAGAGGATAGGAGGACTCCCACACCCACATCTCCGCGGCCGTCCGTTCCAGACACCGCTTCCTGGTCCCCAACAGCACAAATAACCCCAAACACGGCACTAAGCAGAGCTGTGAAATTCACACGCACAAGCCACACACTGGGAACCGGCCACGACAGCCGAGAAAAAACCGGCCGGGTGAGAAAACGCCAGGCGGTCCCCTGTCATCTGAGGACAACAACACGCCCAGGAGAGAAGTGGCAGGACACGGGGGAGTTGCCCCGAAAACAAGCCCGCAGCCTCCCCACTTTCCTGGGAACGCTATCCCCTCCGCGGCCGTCACCGGCCGGGGCGCAGGGCTCGGCGCCTGGTCCCGGGTGGGGGCCGCTGAGGGAGGCTCCCCCCGCAGGCCGGGCGCCCCGGAGAGCCCGTGGCCGGCCCGGCCCCGCCGCGGGAAGCCGATGGGAGGTCGCTCCCTGCCAAGGCCACTGCCCCCCCCGCCTCGACTCACCGCCGGTGTGTCTGGTTCTCAGCCGCGAGCTGGGGCTGCAGTGAGGAGGCGGCGGAGGAGACGAGATCCGGGGCCCCGCCGCCGGATCATCATACCCCCCGCGCGAGCCGGCCCGGGCCCCGGCCCCCGCCCCCCGGAGCCGTCCCCGCGCCCGTCCCACGGGGGGAGCCCCCTCAGCCTCCCCCCAGCTCCGCCGCCCGGCCTCTCGCCGCCGCCGCCGCCTCAGCACCGCGCGCTCCCGCCTCAGCCTCCCGCTGCCGTCCGGGGCCACCGCCGGGCCCCTGACTCCGCAGCCGCCGTTGTCGCCAGACTCGACGAGCTGAGCGCCGAGCGGCCGCCCCCATCCGGCCGGCCCCTCCTCGCGGGAACTAGTCCCCAGCCCCGCGCCATGACACCTACTGAGGCGGAAGTGTCGGAGAGCGGGCGGGTTAGGATGACTTCATAGTACTGGTGGGAGGGGGAGGGGAGTGGGAGTGGGAGTGGGGGGGCCTCCGTGGGGAGCCAGCGTGGATCGAGTGCGGGGATCGGCTCCCCGCCCCCTCCTCACGGCCGACTCCGCGGTGATTTAAAGGTGCTTGGTGGCGGTGTGGCGGTCCAGCTTTAAAATGTCATCCCCGCCAGTGTGACATCACCACCGCCTAGCGTGACACCCCCAGAGATTGGACAGCGCGCGGGGAGGCAGTGCTTACCGAGGAAGCCCCCTGCTGGTGAGGAATTACCTCAGTTTAGGCTTTGATGTATCGTTGCAATCTAGGGACGTTCTAGCTGCTTGACAGCGGTGTATAGGATCTGTAAGCCTCCACACGCATTAGGAGCCCCTGAGCGGGCTCTAACCTTGCCTCCTTGGGAACCTGGATTTGCATTAGGAGGTGAGAAAGAATAGCTGTGCTCTGAACCCAACCCCCTCAAATCCTGCAGTGAGCTAATACATAATTTTCTCTCCTCTACCAGGAGATAGCAAAACCGGGTATTCAGGAAACGGAATGCGTTGGGCACACAACATTCTGGAAAAATAAACACTGCGTGAAAACTAGGTTATCCTAATAGAAAGACAGTTGCCATCTCCCTGGGCCAAGAAATTCTGGAAAACTTCAGATATACCTCTTGCTGATTCCTAAAGAGTGGGACATTTCTAGGGAGATGGTAATATATTTTTTTCCATCCCGCAAGTGCTGGAGGCGACAAGGATCTGTGCCCTAGAAAGTGGCTGTGCAGCACCATGGGTATTTATTTGCATATACGCTTTAAGGAGAGGGCAGATGTGGCTAAGACAAGATTCTGCTATCAGGTTATATTTCTCAGATGTCATTCATTATACATCCTTGACCTCTTTGGATGGAAGACATAATTTTTGTGAAGATGTGCTAAAGTGGTTATGCTACCTTTGGGTTTCTCTCCTGGCTTAACAGCACTGGGAGCAGTTCTGTTTTGTTGGGAACAGGGAACTTTATTTCCCTAGAAGACCAGGGTTAGCAAGAGTATTCAATCCCACAGGGCAGGTTTGTTTGCTTATTTTCACAGAAACTTAGAGAGCATGAAGTCCTACGATGGACTGACCTGGGAAACCTCAAGACATGGAGAGTTGGTGAACGTGCCTGCTTGGGGAGCTAGGAAAAAGGCAGAACTTGAGCTCTGGGGTAGAACAGATCCTGCTTGAAAAGCAGGCTTCCAAAACATTAATTGCTTACCATGCCTTGGTTCAACCCAACTCCATGACAGGCCTCTAAGCTCCTACTCTCCCACATTATGTCCCTTTCCTCTTTTCAAACACATCTCAAAATTTGCCTTTAGGAAGACTTTCCTCTTTGACTCCCACTTGATTCTGGTTATTCAGTTCTGCATCATCATTTGACTACTTCATTTACTTCTTGTACCTTATTTATTTTACTTGTTGATCTCTATTTTCATTGTTCTTTGGTCATTTCCTCAGTCTGTCTCACTACATTGAGACCTTCTTAAAATCTAGTATTTTCCTCTCTCCAGTATTCGTATATCCATCCAACAAACTCTCCCTGCTTGATGCCAGGTACTCTCCTACACATTGAGTCAGATGCAAGATGAATAAGTCATGATCTTTTCCCTCAGAAAGCTTACAGTACAGTCTAGTGAGGAAAAAAAAATGCATGGGGACATATATCTAAGATTTGAATGACAGAGTCAGGGAACGTCTTCAGAGAAGGAGATGTTTAAACATGGTACGCTTAAAGAAATTTCAGAGTTTAGTGTAACTAGAGTTCATTTGTTAATTCAGCAAGTATCTATTGAGTATCTTCTGTATGCCAGATACTGTGTTAGAATTAAAGATAACAAAGAAGAAAAGGGTATGGTCTGTGCCCTGAAGGAGCATACAGTTCAGCAGAGAAGTGGCAGAATATGGAAACAGTAAGGTAGGCCAAGTCAGATTTTGAAAGGCAATGCGGAGCTAGTGGAGGTTTAATCAGACAGGTAATATGAAGGAATCTGTGCTTTAAAGAGAGAACTGGTAGCAGTGAGGAGGATGGCAGGCTGGAGTGGGCAAAGACTGGACAAAGAGAGTCTAATTAGAAAACTGTGATGAGGGTTTGATCAAGCAGGGAACATGGAGAGAAGGGAGAAGATATGTGAACTATTTCCTCCCAAAGTCGGGCAGCTGGAGAGGGAGATGGAGCTGTTGCCAGTTGGAAGCATTGATGTGTCATCTAGGGTGTGATATCCCTCTAGGGCCTAGATTCAGCGTTGTAGACTAGAAGTCACTGAGGAGCTGAAGTGTTTAAGGCCAAGTAGGAGAAGCTGACCAAAAGGCTGTGTCTTGAGAGAAACTGAGTCCGAAAGCTAGGCAAACTATCCAAACAAGTAGTAAATCCAAGGGACCCAGAAGAAAAAGAGAATTCAAGTAGAAACCAACAGTTCTAAAACTGGGAAAACCAGATGAGAGTGAAGGCCTGAAGTAAAGAATAGGAGGCAGAACGTGGGCAAATCCTTTGAATCAACAAGAGAGAATCCTCACTGATTTTTCAAATCTAGACTCCAGGAAACTTTTTATTTGGAAAAGATTTCACACTCATAGAAAAGTTGCAAGAATAGTAAAAGGAGCACCCATATACCCTTTACTCAGATTTACTTATTAACATTTTGAGCCTGTTGCTTTAACGTTTGCATTCTCAGCCAAATAGATTACACACACATTTTTATCTGACCGTTTGCAAGTAAATCGCATACGTCATGCCCCTTTATCCCTTAATATTTGAATGTCCTGAGAATAAATACATTCTTTTACAGACACAATATGTACAATTATCAATTCCAGGAAACTTAACATTGATAAAATACTTTTATCTCATCTACCATCTGTATTCCAAATTTGTCAATCCAATAATGTCTTTCTTACCATCTTTTCCTCTTCCAGCACAAGATCCAGTTTAGAATCAAATATTCCACTTAATTGTCAGTCTCTTCAGTCTCTGTTAATCTGAAAGAGATCCTTAGCCTTTCTTTGTCTTTGATATTTTTGAAGAATACAGAATCCTTCTTTAAAATAACACAATGCTCCTCATTTTAGGTTTGTCATTTATGTTTATCTCATGTTTCTTCATTACTAGGTTCAAGTTATCCATTTCCGGCCAGAATAATGACACTGCGTTCTTCTCAGGGTATCACACCCAAAGTTAGATGAATGTCTCTGTCCCTCATTGGGTGATAATATTTTTTTTAATTGAAGTGTAGTTGATTTACAATACTGTGTTAGTTTTCAGGTGTACAGCAAAGTGATTAGGTTATATATATATATTTTTTCAGATTATCTTCTATTATAGGTTGTTACAAGATATTGAATATAGTTCCCTGTGATATACGGTAAATCCTTGATTCTTATCTATTTTATGTATAGTAGTTTATATCTGTTAATTCCATACTCCTAATTTATCCCTTCCCCCTGCTCTATTTCCCCTTTGTTAAACATGTTTGTTTTCTATGTCTGTGAGTCTGTTTCTATTCTATTCCACAGGGACACTTCCTTGACCTTTATCTGAACTGCACTTTACCCCCATTAGCCAGTCTTATTTTCTTCTTAACACGTATCACTATCTGATATTTATTCATGTATACTGCCTGTCTCTCTCTTTTAGAATTTAAGTTCCATGTGGGCAGGACATTTTCTGTCTTGTTCACTGTTTTATATCCTCAATGTCTGGAACACATGCCTGGCACATAGTAGGCATTCAATAAATATTTGTTGAATGAACAAATGAATGAAGGGATTTATGGACACTAGTTTTCACATAGGGTAGTTGCCAGTTATAGAGATAATATTTATACAGCATCTGCCGAACTAAGCATTCAATGGTTGTCAGCCCCTTGAGGGCTATGAACTCTGCTTTATTCCCTCTTGGAGAGAAATAGTATTTATTGAGGAAGGATTGCCTAAAGGATGTGCAATCCATCCATTCCTTCAGATTGATTCATTTATTCATTCACCCGATGTTTATCATTAAGAACGTGCTATGTGTTCTAGACAGTAGGGATGAAATAGTGAACAAAACAGACAAAAAAAAAAGAGTCCTGGAGTTTACATTCTAGTACAGTGAGGCACACACTAACCTCAATAGGTAAATGATATCATGTGAAGTGCTCTATGGAGAAAAAGCAAGGCAGGGAAAGAGGGAGTGGCAGGCAAGGTGGTTGTAATTTTAAATACGATGACCAGGAATAGCCTCACTGAGCAAAACCTTGAAGGAGGTGAGGGAGCCATGTGGGTATCCTGGGTGGAAAAGATGGTAGGGAGAGGGAAGAAGTGAGGTGAGTGCTTACCGGGCACATTGCAGTAACTGCAAGGAGGTCAGTGTGCCTGGAGCAGAGTCAATGAAGTGTGGGAGACGAGGAGGAGAGGAACCGGCAGATGGTGGGCACCATTCAGACCACCAGGAGAACTTTGGTTTTTATTCTGAGTGAGCTGGAAAACCATTGGAGGATTTGAGCAGAGAAGTAACATGCTATGATTTATGTCATGGCTGCTGTGGGGACTCTACTTGTGTATTTGGAGAGGAGGGGGGCAGTGTTGGAAGCAGGGAGAACATTTAAGAGGCTATTGAAGAACTCGGACAAGAGACAAAGGTTGCTTGGACAAGGGTGATAGCGGTGAAGATGGTGAAAAGAAATAAGATTCAGGATATGTTTCAAGGTACAGTCAACAGGATATACTGACAGATGATAGTGTGGGTAGGAGGGGAAAGCAACAGGAAAGGGAGAATAGGAAACCAAGCTTACTAGAGACACATAATAGGGTTACTCAGCAGTATGGAACGCCATTCTGGTGTATGAGATCATGACTT